TTTTTGGCAAAATGGTACTGTAGCGGTTTTCGTTGTTATTTGGCAATTAGTGTCCAATCATAGTCTAATTAGGCTTAAAAGATTCGTCTCGTGGATTTCGTCTAAACTGTGTAATTAGTTTTATTTTTTATTTATATTTAATGCTTAATGCATGCGTCCAAAGATTCGATGTGATGGAGAATCTTGAAAAATTTTGCAAATTTTTTTGCAGCTAAACTGGACCTTGGTTCTATGTCAAAAAATCGCAGGATCGGCCCTGATTAGCAATGAGTAGTACCAGTAGTATTGTTTACGGCCGACATCCATGCATGCATGGCGAGTTCCCATGGCACCATGGATTTTGCGAACATAATAAGCAACGGATGGAGGGTGGAGTGGTACGAGAGCGGGTTGGAGATTGGAGATGGATGCAGCATTACAGAGGGAGGGGAGGGAGTGTATCGGTATATATATATATATATATATATATATATATATATATATATATATATATATATATATATATATATATATATATATATATATATATATATGTGTGTGTGTGTGTGTGTGTGTGTGTGTGTGTGTGTGTGTCATAATGGTGAACGGAGAGTGAAAAGATAGCCGTAGTGAAATATATTGTGCAGTACATTTTTTTCTATAAGAAATCAATTTCTAGTATCATTATAAGTCAAACTATTTTAAATTTGAATGAATGTATAAAAAATCATGCCATATTTTGACATAAATTAGTACCAGCAGATACATCATGATATATATTTTTGTAATGTGTTTGTTTGGTATCATAGATGATGTTATTCTTCTTTTATATGGTTGGTTAAACTTGTCCTGTTTGGCACAACTTTACCAAACAGCTTGTTGTGAGTTTTTTTTTTTTTTGTAAAATATCCTTTTTGAAAACAGCTTCACGGTGAGGCTCTTTTTTATGATCTCACAAAGAAATGGATAGAGATGAAGTTGAAAAAGTAGCTTTTCACAGCTCTCTTCTTCTGTTTCCTCTCTCAGCAATGCATGAAGTTGTTTTTTTTTACTGGAAAGACTGTGGGAGAGATCCCCACAGTACCAAAATTTTATAAATTTAGAATGAAAAGAGAGTTCTTACAAAGGGGATTAACTGAAGGCATCTAGCCACACACAAAAGGATGACCTCAGGTCACCTTTGAACCTAATAGACTGAAGATTACATTGAAATTTAAAATTTGCTAACCACGTACTAAAGTTGGGTTGCTTGCCGTGGAAAATTTTATCATTCATGATCCTCCAAATTTCCCAGGACGCAGTTAGTACCAGCTCCATGAAGAAGGGCAGATTGGAGTCCGCTCATGCTTGGGCAAGGCGCTGGAAGAGTCCTATCTGCTCATCCCACTGAATTTGTAAAGTCTGCCAGCAGCGACGTGCAAAGTTGCAGGAGAAGAAGAGGTGCTTTAGATCCTCTACTACACCCAGAGGACAGAGAACACTGTGATCATCGTCTTGTATGTTGCAGTGACGCCTTCGGAGCATATCTTTGGTGTTCAGACGATCAACCAAGATCAGCCATGCGAAGAACTTTATTCTAGGAATGCAGCTAGTCTTTCAGATCCATCTGAAGACCGGATGAGATTCAGCATTACTGAAGGCTAATTTATAGAGCCGCTAGGATCCATTTCCCCACACATAGTTCCAGAAGTCATCATCTGATTGTGGAGGTTGGAAGGCTAATGCATCTTGTGATTGAGGGAGGTGAAATTGATTTTCCAATTCATGTGCCTGCAACATATCTTGGGCTGAAGCTCTAGTGTTCTTCGCAAACGAAAGCAGCCTTGGGTATTGTCCTGACAGAATATGATCCATCCAAATATCGTCCCAGAAACCATCCCCAATTGTGCAGTGTGCAATTCCACAAAAAAGGTTGCTCAGCCTAAGGATGTCTTTTCACCAAAAAGAACCGACTTCCCTGGCAGCATGCGGTACTTTGCCTTGATAGCATTTCCACCAGACGAGCTGGACCCAAGGAATCTCTCTTTTGTTATAAAATTTTTCTAAGCTCTTGAGGAGAAGGGCGTCGTTCTGTAATTGTAAGTTGAGGACACCAAGCCCGCCTTTTTCTTTTGGTTGCATCACCACTGTCCAGGCCACTAGATTGCCTCCCTTTTGCTGTGCCGAATTACCCCTCCAAGGCATTGCTTTCTAGCCCGATCTATGTTGTCGATGACTCCTTTGGGTAGTTTGATGACGCAAGAGGCGTAAGTGCTGATCGGTGTGATAGCAGAGTTGAACATTTCTAGTCTTCCTGAATAAGATAGCATGGAAGAGCATGCTGAAAGGCAGCGCTCCACTCTATCCATCATTGGAGTGAGGTCCTGGAATCTTGGCCTCGTGGTGCCCATGGGGAGACCCAAATATGTGAAGGGAAGGCTCCTGATCTGACAGCCAAAAGTATTGGCTAAGATTTCCATCTTCTCAGGTACTACATTGATGGGAATGATCTGGGACTTGCGGTAATTTACTCTGAGACTGGTTGAATCCGAAAAGGAGTGAAGAATACCTTTTAGGAAGAATAACTGACGAGCATCCGCTTCCATAATCAGCAAGGTATCGTCTGCGTACTGAACTATTGGGAAGTCTTCATCTGGTTGCGGGATAGGTCTTCTCAGGAGGCCCAAGGAGGAGGCCCTATTCATGATGACCTGGAGCAGCTCGGCTGCCAGGACAAATAGCAACGGCGATAAAGGGTTGCCTTGGCGTACACCCCTCCTGCAGTTGAATTTCTTACCCGGTACTCCGTTTAACAGGACAGCGGACGAGCCTGACACTAGTATCGATCTGATCCACTGAAGCCACACATCAGGAAAGCCCATGTGTTGCATCACAGACAAAATAGCACTGTGTTCGACAGTGTCAAAAGCTTTTTCAAAATCAAGCTTGAGGATCAACACTTCTTTCCTTGACTGATGACATTGATGGATAAATTCAAAACACCAAGCTAGGCAGTCCTGTATGGCACGAGTTCTGATGAACCCATATTGGTATCTATGGACAAGCTGTATGATAACCTGCTGAAGTCTGTCCACTAGAATTTTGGTTAGGAGTTTCAAACTGCAGTTCAGTAGGGTGATGGGTCTAAAGTCGCTGATTGATTCAGGGCTGCTGATCTTTGGAACAAGGGTAATGAAAGAACTGTTGATGCTCTCTAAGTTCATATTTCCCTCGTGGAATTTGTCACATAAATCATAGAAGTCTTCCTTAATCACATGCCAACATTTCTTGAGGAAGGAACCGTTAAAACCATCCAGCCCTGGGGCCTTATCCCCAGGCATTTTCTTTACAATATTGTCTATCTCTTCATGGCTGAAAGGCTCCACAAGAAATTCTAAGTCCTCATGTGGTGTAAAAAGAGATTGCAGATTGTAGAGCATAGTTGGCATCTCTGTGACCCCCATTCTATTTCTAAAAGCATTCCAAATAATGCCAGCTTTGCTTTCATGGTCCTGTATCCAGACCCCTTGATCATTCTGCAATTGCATGATGGTGTTTTTCCTGAAGGTGATGGTAGCCATGGCATGGAAAAATTTGGTGCATTCACCACCAAATTTAATTCTATTTTCAATATATCTATTCTTCCAGTATGTGTTCATTGATCGAAGTAGGGCTGCCAGGTGAGTTTTCAAGATGTTTATGAGATTATGCTCCGGATTGTACAGAGTTCTCAGTTCTTCCAAAGCATCAAGATGCAGAATGACTGTATTACAGTTGGTGATGAAGGTCTTCATATTTGAGAAAAATTTCAGCCCAAAAATTTTCAAAGCGAAAAATGCTAGCTCTGGGGATCTTTGTGTCAATGACAACCTTGCAGGGGATGTGATCAGACGTTATCTTCGCAAGAGGAATAACCTGCGTATTAGGATAGGATACTGTCCAATTCACCGAAGTAAAAACCAGTATAGTTGCTCCAGTAACGGTTCACTCTGCATATTACTCCATGTGAAGGCTCTGCCTTTTAGAGGGAGTTCAACTAGACCTAGATGTCCAATGGCGTCATTAAAGATTAAAGTGTCCTGGATGTTGCCCCCTGGCCGATTACGGTCACTGATTGAGCGATAGAAATTGAAGTCACCAAGGAATATCCAATTCTGTGTGTCTGCTATGTTGTGGCCTCTGAACCAGGCAATGAACTCAAACCAATCAGGTTCAGTGCATGGACCGTACACTATCGACAATTTCCAAACTTCAGCATTGTGACGTGAAGTGAACGAACGGGTCTATCTTTCAAGGAGTGACAGTGGATAAGTTAGTCTTTGGGCCTGATTGCCTGAAGTTGTTTTGCCACACAATTTTTTTCAAAACAGCTCAGCTTCACTGTGAAAGCTACTTGTAAAGCTGTTTAAAAAAAACAGCTTCAATGGTGAAGCTAAGCTGTGCCGAACGAGGCCTTAAGGTATTTTGACTTAGTACAACTCTAAAGTTTTGTTTCAGGACGGAGGGTGAAATAGTGATGGCCAAGATCACTTTTTTTTAATGTTATCACCGACGCAGATGAGGTTATGGGCTATGGCAGCAGTTTTTGCTAACTACTTTCAAGGATGGATTGACCTAAAGAGTCCAAAAAAACCTAGTTAGACCTATAATCGACAGTGATATTTATTTATTTATGTATTATGATCTAAACAACTCTAATAATTTCATTGGTATATACTATTTCTAATAACCATGTGAATGTGCATGGTGTAGGCATCTGAACTAAATAACTCCAAAGAAAAAAAAAACAAAAAATTTCCAGAGATATATGTAGTGGCTAAACGACAGAAGATTTATCATTTCTTCCATAAACAGACATGATTACAACGTCTTATAAGGCAGATCTTACAATCCTATTACTGTTACTAGAACAGTTGGAGCCTTTATTGATTTAATAATTCTAACAAAAGTGCAACAAAGGGACAAAGAAAATACATAATTCTATGACTTAAAACAAGGAAGGACTACGATGGGCTCCAACTTTAGATTGGCTTATATGGAATTTATGGGTAGGCATTGCCATATCCAGTTCCGGCACCAGAACCGCCACCACGGCCACCATTTTGACTATTTCCTGTGCCACCACCATTGCCACTAGCACTTGCACCTGCTTCATTTGATCCATACCAATACCTGTTAGCATGGCTAGAGCCAGAACCAGTGCCACTACCGGATCCTTGAGCATTGGAATTCCAAGCACCTCCGGCTTGTCCTCCACCCCCACCCCCACCGGCACCACCAGCATTAGAAGACTCTCCATAGCCAGAATACCGTCCTTGACTATATGTACTAGACCCTGAACCTGACCCTGACCCTGAACCATATCCAGACCCACCGTATTGGCTAGTTCCACCACCTCCACCACCCCCTCCAGCACTTGCATGGGTACCATAAGGACCACTATCACCTGATCCCGTGCCAGACCCAGACCCCGATCCCCCGCCATTCACATATCCGCCACCCCCTCCCTGTCATGTGCCAGTCCCATCAGCACTAGAGTATCTAGCCACCCTAACAGCATTGGCTAATCCCATGCTCATGAGGACAATGAGCCCCAGTGATACTAGCTTTGTGCCTGCCATTGTGAGCTGCTTGAGTTGAGATGGGTTCCTGGTGAATGCTGCTTGGGTATTTATAGTGCTTGAGGCCATGAAGTGGTTCTTTACGTTCATAGCATGCACGTATGGTAGTGGTGTTTCAATAGGAGACAAAGTGGAGGCTTTTAAAATCCACTGGAATTAATGGAGCTTCTGGACTTGACCATAAAGTACATGCAAGTAGCAAGGTGATGGATGATGGTCAGCTAATGAAGTCTCATCTCCAGATAAGAAAATGGATGGCCCAAAGTTTTAGCATTCACCGGTGTTTGGAAGTCCCATTGAAACTAAAGCTGCTTGTTGCTCCGGTTTAAGTAGTTCACTAGTTTGTATTCTTCGTCTCGATATACAGAAGTTATCCATGCATCAAGTCCTTGCACTGATACTAAATGTGTGAAATATTTTAGTGACTGTACAGCTTTGTCTCATATATAGCTGGAAAGCTGGGCTAGATCCATAAACATTATTTGTATGTTTGGTCTTGATATACATTGTGTTGCTGGACAAAGACCCCATACTGAAAAGAATAGTACTAGCAACTTCCAAGCTAATACATATACTCCATTTCACCCCTGACCTGAGAACAAAAGGATTATGGCCCTTACTTGAACATATAAACTCTTTCTTGGCTTTTGCTTGGGATAAATTGTTTCTGTTGAGAGACTTGCAAAAATCCTGCATGCATAGTACAGTATACTCTCATGCATGCTCATGACTCTGCATTTGACCATCACTCTGAAATATGCACGAAATCAAAAGATCACGAGATCACCCATATAATAATAATGTAATCCAGGGTTATATATATATATATATATATATATATATATATATATATATATATATATATATATATGTGATCAGGCTCTAGCATTATACTAACATTAAAACTAGTAAACGGAGACCTGCATGCATTAAGTCTCAACGGGCACGTTTGAAGATAAACACAGGCATATCCCCTGATCACCCGAACTACTCTATTCCTCATGCAGTGGTTGACGTTGGAGAGGTGACCTCGAGGTTTTCGCAACGACTTTGACAAATTCAGCCAAGGACTTAAGAACTACTCCTATGTGTACTTGGAAATCTCGATAAGAAAGGCAGCTCACAAGGTTAATTAATAAGTACAATGCAAGCTGTATTAGTAGCGAAACAGTCCTTGAAGGCTTGAGCCCTAAACATGCGTACTACGATAAACTCAAATATGCATGATCCTCATGACTATGCATTTTTGACCATTCTCTCCATCACTGTGAAACATGCACAGCTGGTGAAACAACAATCAAAAGATACACTACTATAGATTTGGACATCACTGCTGGCCTCATCACTGTCGGATTCATGAGAACCGGCAGTGATGTACGCTTCCGAGCTTGAAAACAAGAAAATAATTGAGTCTGGACTAAAACCGATATTGAAGGACTACATCACTGCCGGTTGTTAATACAAACTGGCAGTAATGTCTATTTACTGTCAGTTGAATTACCAAACCGGCGCTGATGCATACTCCCGGACCCGAAAATTTTATCTATCCCAGTTAACTCCGCACACCTCCAACTCCCAACTGTATCCGCTCCTCCCAACTCCCTCCCAACTCCCAAGCCGGATGACAGACTATCTCCTCCTCCCCAGATCTCCCCACACCTCCACACCACACCCGCCTCCACTCCGCCGAATCTTGTGCTTCGGTCGTCATGGAGGACCACGCCAGATCCCGCTCGTCCTCCGGCCGCCGCGGAGGGCCACGCACGGGATCCTGCTCGTGCTCCGGCCGTCGCGGAGGGCCACGCAGGATCCTACTCGTGCTCCGGTCACCGCGAAGGGCCACGCCGGTCCTGCTCGTGCTCCGGTCGCCGCGGAGAGCCACGTCGGAGAGGGGCTTCTTCCCCACCTGTCCCCAAGGAGCGGCGCCAAGCCCCCACGCCTGCTCCCGCTCTTCCCCATCACCTCCGCGGCGGCGCTGTTCGAGTGAAGATGGAGGACGCTCAGCCATCTCCGTCGGAGGTGCTTGAGCATGTGGTGCGAACCCATGGAGGCCGCGGCAGTGACGTGCGGGCACGAGGCCACCCTAGCGCGGGCTCGGCTCATCGCGAATCCACCCTGGTGTCGGCACGACTCACGGTGTTTTCTCTTTTCTCGCACTTCTCTCCTCGGCAATCTCCCTTTCTGGTGCTCTCTCCTCTCTCTCACACACACTGTGTCTCCTCAGATCTGTCATCATAGGGGTGGTGACTGGAAGCGCGGCCTCAGATCCGGCATTGGAGCGACTTGGCCTGCCCGGCGACATCCCCAATCTCCCCCTCCTGGTCTCCCCTCCCCTCCCTCTATGTTGTGTGAATCAATTTGTAGATGAGTTATTTTGTTTGTGTTGAACCCTGCTCCTTTGTCTTTGATGTACGAATCGATTTGTCGATGGGTTGTAGCATTTGGTTTTAAGAACAAAACCAGATACACACCATATATGAGCCCAGGAAGTCAAATCTCACATATAGCTACAAATAAGGGTAATATCAATAGACAATGCTTAAATACATATCGTATTAGTATAAAGATTATAACCTCGAGTATAGATAGTAGAAAGACAACTCCAATCTTTAGGTGAAGACTCCAAATCCATAGGGATAACTGACTGGTTGATCACAAGCCTAATTCCTCCAAACTCTAGCAATCTAGTACCCATCCGGGATTTTTGCAAAGATTTAAAAAGTAAAGCAAGCGTAAGTACATGTCGTACTCAACAAATATAACATGGGGTTCATGAGGCTCAAAAGGCTGACACTGGTTTAACTGCGATTAGCTTTTAATGAGTCATGATTTTAGCAATTGAATAGCAACAAGTTTATCCACAAGCCCATAAACACATGATCAGGTAAACATGAATAATGAATAGCATAAACAGTAATCATTAGTGAGCATCTTTATCATCAGTATCATCTGTGTTCATCATCTATTCCGTAAGGGTTCCAAGGCTGCTCGTGACCGTGAGCATGACTGATATACCAGTTTTACACTCTTAGAGGTTGTACACTTTCACTGTGAGTCGTGATTTACCCTTTCGCCCGAGGTGATCAGCCTCTTGACCCACTACCAAGGAAGGTCGGCAGGGTTCACTATGAAGCCTTTTAAAGGTTCGTCTAACAAGTTAGGGCCATTAGATTCACTCAGCAAACAGATGTAGAGACCTCCTTCCCGATGGCACAATGACGCGCAGCCTATACACAAAGGGATAGAGGCCGCACTATACCCGATTCGGTAAGCCATTCTTACGCCAATAAAGGTAACCACTAACAAGCTAGAAAATGTCTTCATACTGAGCTAAAGCTAGAGCCATATAGCCCTCACAACTGTACTGTAAGTCCCGGATGATCACTTATAGATAAGTCCTTAGGGAGAGGAATCTAGAGCACCATAAAAACAGCCCAATGCTCTAGCCCCCTGGTTCCATGTGGCAAAAAAGCATCTTTTAATGTTTATTGCAATATTCCATTAGTCAAGTTACAAGATCATGGTTATAGTTGAGCACTAGCATCATACTACCCAATGCAATAACCCAGAGGTATCAAGGTACAAGGTAACAAAGTACTAGGAAATCCTTAGTGGCAGACAAGGAAGACACATGCAGTATAAATTAAATGATTAGAGGTGTATAGGACAACAAGAAAGATCCCATGCTATACTTGTCTTAAACACCGATCCTTCGGTAAGCTTTAGTCTTCAACGTTCTTCTTTTTCTTCTTGATCACCGCGTATATCTCACCGACTGGACGTAATCATAAAGCACCACACAAACATTTGTACAATCATACACGAAGCAAACAATAGATCTAAATTAGAACAGTACACCAATCATAGAAAAATAAATAAAAGAGTTTGAAATACGATTCTATGCATCACTACGAATACACAAACGCGAGAGGCACGCTAATCGGAGCTACGGTTAAAAAGATACAACTACCGAAAGATTTGCTTTATACGTGGAAAACAAAACTATAGGCTTCATTTATTTTAACTATATAAAAGTATATATATGAGATATTTTATAAATAATATAAATCGAATCAAGTCAATTTTAGATTTGAATTATAAAACTAAAGTAAAACATACCATATTTTATTTATAAAATCTAGTTGCATAATTATTATTCAAATTAGAGTTTAAATCATGAAATTTCAGAAATAGTGCCATGGTAACCACTGTCACTAACGTGTAGACTTCGTCGCTATGAATCTAACGCAACTTGAATGGGCCAAAATGGAGTTAAAACGTAGAAGATATGATTTAAACAAGATTTTCTTTAATAAAATAATAGATTAAATCTAACCTCGAATTTTAAAAGTTGAAAACACATCCAACAGTAGTATAAACATGTAGATTATGAAATTACGAACCTAACACAAGTTGAACGGATCAAATCAGAGTTAAAACGGAGAAGTTATGGCTAAAACAAAATTAGTGGCAAATCTGTCAATAGATGAAAACGTATTTTAGACTTAACCGAAGAAAATACGCTTTCAAATGAAGAAAACAAAATCTGTAAACATGTTTTGGACTGCAGGTTGATTTTCTGAAAATACAGGGTCTCTTTAGCAAAAAGAACAGCGAAGGGGTAAGTTCTAATCTGGGCCATTAATCTAAAAACGTACGGCTCAGGATGATGTGTATTTCTATTTTATTTCTGGATTTGTTTTTTAAAGAAAAATGGCCACAAATAGAGCATGACGTGGAAGATAATGTCATCAAGCTAACTAGCAAATTGAATCACGGCGACGCATGCTCGGCTCACGGCGGTGCCACCATGTACAGCGGCGACCGGAGCAACAGAGATCGAAAGAGAGAGAAAGAGAGTACTGGGGCTTCATCACCTACCACAACAAGGACACCGAAAGGGAGAGCAGGCGACGGCGGATTCGATTTAGGGTTTGGGTGTGGCAGCGGGCAAGCAGCGATGGCGTAGGGCTCAATTGAGCGGGTCGGGATGCATGGTG